GCTATTGCATAGTTTTCCTTAATTAAAACCTCTTCTATTCTCTGTTTTAAAAGGCGTTTCTGGGGCGAGCCTCGGAGTTCGTCCCGGGACGAGGCGTACCAAAAACGTCCCGGGGCGATGGTGTGGGATGAATGTCTCAAGAGGCGTACGCCCCGCAATTTGGGACGTACGTCCGGACGTTCGGAGCGCGTTTTTTTAGTAAGGAATAAGCCCTAGAGACTTTTTCAAATTAAAACAAAATTTCTTGAATTAATCCTTCATATAATATCCAAATTCTCAAAAGTCAGTTTGGTAATTACTCAAAATGGTTTATAAAGGAATTCAAAAGTATTAAATTTAAAAGTAAAGACTTTTTTTATTGATTTAAGACCTAATTCATGGGTTTCCTAATTTTTTATCTTATCCGCTAGTCTGCTAATATCTCCCAAAAGCAACGAATATTTAATTTTTTTTACAAATACAAAGAGAACTACATTTTTCTTCATAGTAGCAAATTCAAAATTCAAATTGCAGGTTAATCATCATTTTTGTTCCTCTATATAGAAAACTTTATTCTTATAGACTCAAATTACTTGTGCTTGTAAAACGTATAATAGATTATTTTGATTAGTTTTTTGTGGGGATGGAACACACATATATATAGTTTTCTTTAATTTTTATGTAATTTTACTTGTTTATAAATATTAATTGTCATTATATTATTTTATAAAATATTAAAAATTAAATACCAATGGGGCTTACGCCCCGCGCCTCAGAATTTACGCCCCGCTAAGGTATATGTAAAACACCCCGTCTTACACCCACGCTTTTTAAAACACTGAGTTCTATTTCATTCGTATTTCAAATCCGTTAGTAATTGAAAAGGAAAAGGTACAAAACCAAAACATATTAGGTCATGGAATAAATTTGTGGAGGTCCTTTTTTTCAACAAATATGTGGAGAAGACAAAACAAATTTTACTTTTGGAAAAAAGTGAAAGAAAAAATAGTTGCATATGGAGCCAAATGATTGGAAAGACTTGACTAATCCATCTCTCTTTTAATTATGTCACAAACCAATGATCCAGAATTCCAGGAAACATATATAATTATTAAACAGGAGCTGCTGATATCAACTCCATTAGCACTATTATACAAACTAATCTCGATCTGTACCCTAAACCTAATTTAGTTACGTAGAAAGTACACGGAAAAGGGAAATAAAAGTATAAATTAAAAACAGATTGAGCTTGGTCCAATATTGTGACAAATAGGATCTCTGGTGTAAGAGGCAGATCTAGAATTTTAACTTTATCGGTTATGTATTTTAAAACGATGACTTTAAGTGTTTATAATTGGGTTCTAAGTTTAATATTTATACATATTTAATAAAAAATTTAATACAAATATATTATTTGAGTAAAAACTATTTCGTCCGAAGAACTCATAGTAGGTCCCGACTATGTGTATAATTCTAATTGAAGATATTATAAACTAAAAAGGGCTAAAAGGAAATGAAAACACGAGGCTATATCTTTAATTAGTATACCTTATCCACAAAATTAAGACAGATGATATAGTATCAACTATGGACTACCATTTTAAAAAATAAAAAAAGTATTTGCTTCCATTTATAATAAAGCTGCATGATGTAGGGTGACAAGATCTTCGAGAGAGAAAAATATCATAGAAGAGTGTGATAATATGATTGAAATTTTTTCAAAGGTCTAAGGTTTGATTTCTAGAAATGAATTTTTTAATAAGAATTATTAATTTTTTAAGTGAACCTACTTGGCGTAAATCGATCTAACCGAACATATAAGTTTCTAGTAACGAATAGCTAAACAGAAAAAAGGAAAAGTAATTAATTTCAGGGAATATTTGTTATCATAATTATGAAAAACTATAAAGAAAAGGTCATAGAAAGCAACCTCATAACTGCAGCAATAATTGGACCGATTATTATGAGTAATTTAAAACTGGGATAAGGTGCTAACTTCGAGAAAAAACAAAGCAATGTTTCTATATTCTAGTGGATAACATAATCAAGAGAATATTTTTTGAAAAAAGAAGAAAGAAAAGAGAGAGCAAAATCATCAACAGAGCATAGAGAGCAATGATGATGATTATGTAAAAAAAATGTTTTTAAAACAATATTTCCTTCGTTTAAACAAAATGAACCTATTTTGTTTAGTTTATTTTAAAAAAATTATCATTTTCTAAATTTGAAAATAAAATAACTTTAAACTTCTCATTTTACTTTTAGTGAGATGATTTACAACACACAAATATCTATGGATTATTTTACACCACAAATTTCAAAAGTTTTCCATACTTTCTTAAACTCTTAACTCAAGCAAATAGATTCACTTCTTTTTGAAACGGGAGGAGTACAATATTTTAATCAACAATGACATTAACTACTATATTTTAATTTATATATATTTTGGCATTTCTCTTTTAAGATGTCGAGAATCAAAAAAGAAAATAGGAACAAGAAAGTTTAAAACTCACAAAGGGAGAATTTGCACTCGCATATGCTCAATTCTCCTACCTTTTCCCCACTCCCCCCGCCACGTAGAAATGACATTAGGTAGTCATTCTAAAGGGCTGCTCTTTAGAAATTAGCTAGTGAGTCTTAACTTTCAGTTTTACAATTCAAATTTTTAGGATAAAACTATCATGAGTTGTCCTGAAGTTAAGATTTTTTAGTTTAAAATTTTAGGACAAAATAAATACTAACTAATCTCTAAATAGCATCCTTAAGAATGGCTATCTGTGCACTTGACCCATTTTCCATCCATTAAAAGAAGAATGGAAATTTTAAATTCTTATACACTATTTGAAATTTTATTACCCTCCCTACTCAAGTTTCAATTTAATTACATCCTATATACAAATTTACCAATTATATACATTTTAGGAATTAAATGAGTATCTCTTTATATTAGGAATCAATTATTTCTCATCCTTATTCTCTCTCCCTCCTGCTCTCTCTCTCTCTTTCTGTCTCTCTCTGCGTCTCTCTCTATTTCTCAAACCCTAATTCCAGTAATGTAGAGCAAAGGGAAAGAGAGCAACAATTTCATACTTATTGAAATTCCAGTAATGTAGAGATGAAGGTGTTGCACAATTGGTGTTCACCATTGACAACCATTAAAAAGCTTTGAAGCTTTGAATTCGAATTTGGGTTTTCAAAAATCACTATTTGTTTTGATTGAGTGTTGTTGCAAAAAATTGAGAATATTGTTTGGAGTTTATATCTCAATTTTGAGGATGTTTTGGTGAAGAATAGACTTGATTTTGGCTGAATTTCAGATTGAAACTCTAAGAAGAAGAAGAAGAAGAAGAAGACATGACATACATTATACTTACGAAATTGTAGTAAAGTTGTAGTAAAATTGTAGAAAAATTATATTCTTTTGTTTATATATATATTTTTATTTAAATATTGTATGAAAGTTGAACAATATTGTATAAAAATTATATTTCAGTTGTATGATATTGTAGTTGTATATAACTGGGTAGAAATAATATATGAAAGTTGCAGATAAGTTGTATAATATATAATTAGTTGTATGAAATTTGTTTTTACTATATATAAATCAGATACAAAATATACAAAAGTCATATTGTATAAAATTTTGTATAAAATTTTATTTAAATTGTATGATATTGTAGTTGTATTTAACTGTTAAAAAAATATACAGTAGTAAAGTTTGATGAAAATACTTTTAAGTCTATTATAACCACTGTTATTTCCACTTTACTCGTTTTAAAATTTAAGTATAAAAAAGATGATTTTTTCCATTTTGCCTTACTGTTGGTAAGGATTTCCAATATCAAAATTACCTTACACAGAAAATATTTGATGAGGTATTTGTGTTGAAAAATGGAAGTAATAGGCGAAGGAAGATGCCACAAAGGCGTTTTGTCAAAGTAGCCAACGGTGATTTGTTGTCTCTGTTTCAAGAAGAGAGACATAACCATGGTTAAATTAATTTTAATTAAATAAATCTCGCCCATCAATTAGGGAGCAGGACACGTGTCAAAGGATGAGAACCCTATTGAAGGATACTGGAGCAATCTTTACTAGAGGGGATCCTGTACCAATATTCTGGAGAGAAGAAAGAGAAAGGAGGGGGAAAAAAAGGAAAAGGGTATAACTAAATCCCTTGATTGAAGGCACTAATAATGGATTGGAAGCCTTTTAAGGTGGAATGTATATATTTTGTAGATAAAACTTGTTTAGCTTGGATAATTAATTAAACATGGATATTTTTAATAATAAAATTTCAAATAGTGTATAGGAAAGAAAAAATCTCAAAGAATAGATTCATTGTTATTGATCCACAATTACATAGCCCGTTCAAGTTCTATTGGGTTGATCCCCAACTTTTTAGTTAAAGATCAAGCTGAACTCAACCCAAATCAACCCATCAAATATACTAGGTTAAAATAGGCTACTCTAATAAGTTGAAAACATAAACCAATCGATTTGTGGACGTACTAGGGATTAAATAGATTGGTAACTATATTTTGTGGGGTAGGAGGATCGATATATAACACTTACTACTACTTAATTATAGTTCTGACAAACTCATATTGACCCAAACATTAACCTAACCAGACCCATTGAACTCCTAGTATAGCCAAATTGGTTGTTTGGTTTTGGTAATCTGTCTCAACTTTATCTTCTTTTCTTTTATTTTGGATTGCTCCCAAAATAATATTAACTATTGAAAAATATACTAAACTGAATTACTGGTCAAATATAGGTCCTCTAACGTAAGAGACCAACTGACGAATAATATATTTAGAAACAAAGAAAGTGAACTATTATCAGATCGGAAATAATAGTTTTACTAGTAGTCAGACTAGATAAGACTAACTAACTACCTAAGATGAATTTGTGCTGCCCAAAATTATACGAGAAAATCCAGATTATCAACTAAATAGATGAGCACCAAGTATCTGCATCTTCAAGTAGTACAACCAAATATAACTTGTTGATCAAAGAAATATTCAAGCTCAAACTCATAGATGTTGCACAGTAAACATAATAAATTAAGATGAAATGATACATGCAGGAATCTCATAAACAAAATGGTTCAGACCGTTCACTGCAAAATACACGATAAATACTGACCAAATTGCACAGCTCTTTAAGCTATTATTGAGTAGAAAAATTGAATTCCTATTTCTACAGAGAGAACATTGCACCACTGAATAAAGTGGCAGCTGTGTTATCATGAATAACAATACACGTAATAGATACTTTTTGACTGCCTTGGCCTTCTGAAGTCTCACATACAGGGCGATAAGAATGGAGTTAACTTTACTCAGCTCTAGACTGCCCAGCTCGGGAAGACAAGATAATGCCAACAATAAGCCCATAAAGAGCCAAAGCTTCAGCAAAAATGAGAATGAGGATCATCCCAACGAAAAGCTTAGGTTGTTGTGCATTAGCCCTAGAAAATAGTAGTTGTTCAGTACAGAAAGAAAATCATCTTTAAAATAACAACCAGCATGACAACAGAAAAACAAATACGACATTCCAAACAAAATGAAGAGCACAGAACAGTCCCAAGCTGAATATGTAACAATTAGCCTGCAACAGTCATTAAATTGAGCCTTTGGCTAAAAAGTTTATCCGGTGATTTCTAGAAGCCAGTGTATGTTTTCTTTATATGTAATAGAAGTCAATGCATAATGTAAACAATAATAAAGACAGCTCGGTGCCAAAGCTCTCGCTATGTGCGTGGCCCATGGAAAGGCCGGACCCAATAGGGTCCATTATACACAGCCTTTATCTGCAAGAGGTTGTTTCTAAAGACTTGTGTTGTGAATGCTAAGCAAAAGAGTTGACAAGTGGCTAAAAGATATGAGAGAAGGAATTGTAAGGCAGAAACTATCCATGGAAGCCGCCCATTCCGTTGTAATATACTACCATATTTCGACTTTATTAACTGCAGAATATGCACCTCTGTTTGGAACAGTTTTGCTCGCAGCTCACCTCGAACCATAAAGTTGTAAGATTTGAAGGAAATCAGTGGGCTCTAACTGTCCACCGATCTTGAAAAGCAAAATACTATGTTTTTGTTTTGTTTTTTTAATCCGCTTCCCACTTTCTTAAGAGGCAATTCTTCTACAAGACTTCAGCATGTTTAGTCTGTGTCTTTAGTTTTACGTTAGATATTTTCTTTTTCAGGAACGTTGCAAGCTGATCAAACAATAAGCTATCTTAAAGCATACTACCAGTTATCTAGGACAGACTGGAAAAGGTCATTTTGGTATAGATTCTCTGGAGACAATGGAATAATGATGGGTAAAATTTTACCAGCAGCTTGAAACTGGAAGAAAAAAAGGACACAATGAGGCAGCCGTTGTCAAACAGACTCATATGACACACCCCTAACAAAGTCCCAGCATCACTATTTTTTTCTTTTTTTAACTCCCTCCGTCCCGATATATGTGGCGGTTTGCAGATTTCGAGAGTCAAATGAGTTAACTTTAATTGTGAATTCGGACATAGAATCTGTAAGTTTCTTTTAAAATAAAAATTACATATGTAGAAACACATTGGCAAACACAAGTACTAAGTTTAATTGAAAATGACAATCCAAGATGCGAACAACAAATTCACCTCAATCCCAAACTTGAGACAGTCCGTACAACTCCTCAATAACCATGTTATTCCATTTTAGACTGTTCCATTCCAATATATAAAAAGTAGGGTTCTCTAACACGAAAGGGTAAAATATTGTGAGTATTCACCATTATCATATGGATTTTAGTTTAGCATCAATTTAACTGTTGAGATATGTGGAAGGGGAACTGGCAATTAAGATAGTGAATTAAAGCAAATAGAACTTTAGTTTAGTTGCATTTGAAGATATATTAACCAATTTATTCAGAAAATTTCTTGCTCTGTTCTCATGCCAATGATTCATCCACCAGACTTTATTTCTTTCTCCTTAGAGCCTATAGAACAGAAATTGTTCAAGTAAGGTCGTAAATATATTTACTCATTACATTGGCGTTCCCAACATGGGGATCGAACCCATGACACAAGGTTAAGAGCCTTCTGCTCTACATTAGTTGAACAATTAAATTTGACTTAACTACTAAGCAACTATGTTCTCTATTTGAGCTTCTTATTTTTACTATCTTCCAAAAAACATTCCTGCAGATGTTAGCAGCAATTTTAACAAACCTAAAAGCTCGTGAAAACACACAAACCAAGTCATCAATATAAAAATGCAACATTCTAAATTCTACCAGAGCCACTCGCATTGAAACTCTAGTTCTACTGCTAAAATTGCTTTTCCCCCCCTTTTTCTAAAGGCTCGAGAGCTAAAACTTATCCTTGCCATTAAACCAAAAGATGAACAGCATTAATACCAACTCTAGATTTGTTCTAACAACATAGTACTAAAACTCAATGTCCAGGAGTTATTCATATACGATCTTTCACATTTAAAAGTCCTAACTATGGAATTTGGATTCAACAGGCATTAGCAAGCAAAGAAAGAAAAGGAAAACAAAAACAAAGAAAAAAAATTCAAGGAATCAATACCTAACACCAGCATCACCAACAATACCAATAGCCATTCCAGCAGAAAGGCCAGCAAGACCACAAGCAAGACCGGACGAGAGATGAGCATAGCCATCAAATAGGTAATACGACTTGGTTTTGGGGTTAATCCCAGTACAGATGATCACAGCAATAATCAACCCATAAATACCTAACACACCAGCCATAACCACTGGCACAATAGATTTCATCACCAATTCAGGTCTCATCACTCCCATTGACGCCACTCCAACACCACTCTTCGCTGTTCCATAAGCTGCCCCCATACCTACAAATCATTCACAAAAACATTAGATTTGAAATCCATTTTAAATAAGCGAACAACATACTCGTATCTGTTGGAAAGGCGGATCCAACGTTTGAAAGCTTACAGATGCAAAATCACATTGTCTTTGGTGGTGACAACGGTCAGCGGTACAGATTAAGCATAAATTTAAATTTCCAAGAAAAAAATCAACTATATATGTAACTCAAGAACAAATCTCAAATTACTACTAAATAAGCATAATTAGTATTCCATAAGCTTGCAAATAAGCATAAAGCATAAAATTTGCTCGAAGCTTAATCTGTGGTGCAGAATTAGTAAAACACATATATATATTAAAAAAATCAACTATATATAGTTCATGAAAATAGGAATTAAGTTAGCGTATGCAGACTACAACTGTATTTTATAAGAATAATAACATATATTTTTTTTAAAAAATAAAATAATTAACTTTATATATAATTCATCTGCAGATCTGGGGTAGGGTTGGAGGAACTTACAGGAGAAGACGAGGGCGGCGGCGGCGCCAAGGAAGCCGAAGAAAGGAGCAGTTTCATCTCCGGAAAAGGTCGACATTGTCGTTAGGATTTGGATCTGAGAATTGTAAATTATACAGAGAGTTTTTGAGTTTTGGAGTTGAATAGATCTGTCTGTAGTTTCTCCTCCCTCGTTCTCTCTCCCTGATTGGTTGTTGAAGCAAATAATTGATAACTCGGTGATATTCACGTGCTATTATGGGTTTGGGCTTACCGGCTATTTATGTAAAATCCCACATCAAAAAGGTCGATACTCTATTTTGCACAAATAGCCGGTTGGTTCACTGTATATTTTTTTTATCCGGTATATATAAACTATACACTGATTATACATGATTATAACTTATGCATATATGATATAAATATTATACATCCTTAATAATTTTTAGTTTAAACGGTTAGATGGGAGGCTATTTAGGTTAATTCTCATGCTGAAATTGGTCCATATTGGCAAACGTTTGCAAGTTGAAGCTGGTCACTAGCGGTCTAAACCAATAAGGCTCTTCTAGTGTAACAATTCATCATACTATATTATAAATATGAAGCTTCAAAATAGAAACTTGAATTACCAAAATACTCATCAAAAGATGAATGCCCATTATACCCTTCAGACAAACATTATTTCTATAACATTTTTGTACAAAAATGTAAATGTATATTTAATAAATTTTTTAATCTACTAAACATCTTTTCATATACAATGCATATGAACATGAAAATACAATAAATATAGAATTACGTGGAAACATTGGTTCTTGGCTTCTTGCCATCTTAAATGATATATTAACTACTCTATTTATTTATTGTGATTATTATTGATGGGGAGTCATATAGTTTTCATATTTCAGTTTTTGTTTCTTTCATCTTCTAGGGTAATAGTAGTGTAATATTTTTGCATAAATTCTTTATTTTACTCTATAAAAATGCACATCAAATTGTCTAATCGTTATATTCGTTTCTCTTGGTTCTATCAAAAAATTTCTTTTTCCTCAAAAAATCCATTGGCTTTGCCGGACTTCATTCTGCAACATATCACATGTTTAATTTTTGAATTCTTCTTGATTTTCTTCTCATTATTTATTGTGTCTGATTCATGTTCCATTTGTTAATATTCTGTATTGCTGTAATAAACAATTAAACTTTCTGAAAAAATAAAACAGAAAATTAGTAATACTTGTTGAACGAAATAGATTCTGGAAAACAAAAAACAGTATAGGAATAAATCGAGTCCACTGAATACACAGTGTGTCCTTAAGAAAATTATTCCCCTCAAGTACCCGAGGTGTTGGAATATATCCTTCCAGGATAGAACGATTTAACTTGCCAGTGTATTGGTACCAAAAATTCTGATGAACTGCGAACCACTCAATGGTCATAAAACACACTGGAAAATATTGTGCAGAAGAAGAAGAAGCTCAGAAAATTTCGTAAGGAAAGATTCTGGCATTGTTTCTGAAAAGGGTTTCTGAAAAGGTTTGCAACCTTTCAGAAACAGCCATGGCTGTTGAAAAGGGGTGTTTGAAATATTGCGGGAAAAATTAAAAACGGGCCTGACCGAACCGGGTCGCGGGTTATTTCGGATTGAATTTTTCGTTAATTATTTAATTAATTAATTAAATAATTGAAAGGAATTTTGTCCAAAAAGATTAATCAATCAATCGATCTTTGACCGAATCCGAAGCCGANGCTTGCCTTCTTCTTAACTCTTTAAGAGCTAGAAGAAGAGCAATTATATATATACCCATCAAAAGTCTTTTCTTTCTCCGATATGGGACAATGTCCCTTTCCTAAGGGAAACTCAAATATTTCATTTTTCTTCCATTTCTCATTCACCTTCTTTAAGCTACACAAGCTTAAAATCCCAATAATCCCCCACATGAATGGGGAATGGCTATAAAATAAAGGAATGCACGGACGCGTGTGTGTTTTACATGCAAGAATTAATTGCATCTGGATAAGTAGGTTTCTCTTTGAACTTTCCGTAGTGAACTTATATCGGATATACTCGGTCAATCGGTAGATTTGATATCTTTGAACCGTCGAGCTTTGTTGTTTACCTAGACAACATAAGTCACACAATCAATCCTTAACCATCTATGGTTCTCACGGTTGTGTTCATTTCAGCCATGAACACCGCTTGATTTCATGAGTGCTTAGAGAATGGGCATTTACTTTCATTCCCCTTGAAGCGGCTNGGCTTACACTTCACACTCACATAGGTGATTTCTAAACGTGTAATCCTATAGACACACTATCTGGTCATATCCTGCCAGACTTAGCAAATCATTAAAAAACCTTTAAGCTTTGTTGACTCATCAAAAAGCCTTAATGCTTTACCTCGATTTCTGAACATTTTCTTCATCACGAGAATGTGTTGAGTTATTTGATAATGTTGGACCATCATTCATAACTTTGTTTGATCTCTTTGAACCTAACTCGTGGGATCTCCAGTCTGCTAGGTAG